ATTTGATTATAAATATTAGGAAAAAAAAGGGGAGATGATTACATATGGTTACGAAAAGGGTGTATATTTCAAAAACTGACTTAAAATTGTTTAGATTTGACAGGGCTTCAAAAGAAGTGTTATTTATGTATACATAAACTATGCTATTTAAGAAAAAAATAAATGACTGTATCGTTAAATTTTACTTCTACAGTTACAGAACTTTTTTTTTTTAATTTGGCCTTCCTAAAAAACGTTGTTTAAAAAGTGGAATATACACCTTCTAAATCACCATTTAACTGATGTCAGTTGGGAACTGCTTGTCAACAGATCTGCCGATATTTCTTAAGTGGAAACAGAGCAACCGTATGTCGGTTCAGCAAACTTGTTACCGTTTTTCTGCTAGTATAAAGATAGGTTTAATTTTCTAGTATCAATAAATAGTTATTTTGCAGCTTTTTCTTCGTTTACCATTCATGTTGTTTTCAATTTGCCAAGTACGATTTCTTCAAAATGCTTGTTTAATTTGCTTTTTGCTCTTTTTTTTTCCCCCTTCTTTTTTCTTGCTGTCAATCTTCGATCTTCTGTTTTCCAAATGTTTTAGTATAATTTTGCTGTTCAAAATACGAAACTGTTGAAAAGGCGAAGCCGGTACAAAAAACTGCCGACGAACAAATGTGCAGAAAGAAAAAAGAATAGAATTTTGCACTCTAGAAAATAAATATGTTTTTTTTTTTTTAATCATACCTACATTGCATAGAAATTTTTTTTGCTGGTTTCTTTTTCGGGTAATCTACAGAAATAGCAAATTAAATAAAAAATAATTGGTCAAAAGAAAAGCTAGAAATGTGAGTCACTAAAAATTGATGTTCAATTTATAAGGTGTTTAACTACATTTTGCTACATTTGCTAAAGATTCTTCTACTTTCTTTTTTTTTTTGACTGTACCGTTTACATTTTAGTTTTGTACTAAAATTTTTTCAATTTTTTTTTAACAGCTCTCATGCTTTGAGGATTTCACCCTATAGCTGGTTGCTTAATGCGTTAATAAGACAGCGTTGAATTTTTTGTTGGATTTATGCGGTTATAAGTTTATGGTTTGTAGAAAAATTTGCAAAAAAATGCAGGCTAACAGTCTTTAAAAAAATTTACATCAGTATAGCGCTTGGTTGTTTTGAAAAAAATAAAGTTGAGAACAAACTACAACTATTTGGGAAAAGCATTCTATTTTTGTACGTTTATCTGCGGTTTTCAGAAAACTGACGACTAATTTTTCTTTAGTTAGTAGTTCTTTACCTGAACGGGGAAGTAAGCTATTTGTAGTGCTTTTACCATTAACTTATGTTCGACATTACTACTTTTACTAGTTTTTTTTCCGTAATTTATGCTTTTTAGCAATTAAAGTCTGTAAGGCTGATATTTTGCTATTTGCTGTTCCTTTAAATATCAGATTTTAAACAGACGTTTATTCAAAAGCAATGACACATCGTTTTCTCCATGTAAATGTTAAGCAATTTTTTTCGGTCTTATTTTTCTTTTCTCGTCGACAACATTCTGAAGAAAATCTTTGATCAATTTTTATGTTTCTTTTTTTTTTTCTGCTCATTTTTGTGGCTAACAGTGGAAGAAATGAATCAGTTTTTTTTTCTTAATGCTGGTAACCGTTTTAGACAATCAGCAATGAGTAATGGAATTTTATGGTCTTTTATTTTTCAATAACTTTTTTTTTTTTTCTAATTTTTTCTCTTTTTGCTTTAAATAAAAAGTAAAGATGGAAGAAGGAAAAAAAAAGCTGACGCATTGTAACTGTATAACTATTTTATAACGAAAAAGTTTTTTTCTTTTTTTTGGTTTTATTCCATACCATTTTTTGTTGGGCAACAAGCTAAACAATTTTGATCAATGAAGAATATCCGTTGGCAACTGTGGTAACAAATTTGAATATTCTGAATTCACAGTACTTGGTGTTCATAGCGATGGTATTTTTTTTTCACAGAAACGGGCTTACAAATATTTGTTGATCAAAGTTTACTTCATTTTTTGGTTATTAATTTAGAAGGGAAGTTGATCACCACATTATTTGGTTGCTGCTTTTTTTTTCTCATACTGATTTGGCCTGATAAATAACTGTAAAAAATGAATTTTTGCTTTTTTTTAATGTTAAAATCTTGTTCTACCGTATTACAGTTGGTTTTTTGTGAAGCATTAAAAAAATGGTAGGCTGTTCAAATCATTGAGTTATTGAAATAGAATTTGAAAAACTGTGTCAGTGATTTCATATTTATATTTTTGAGATGAAAAATGTTAGCATTAGTAATTAATACATTGGTTAACTTTAGTAATGCTATTGATTTTGAGCTATACAAAAAGAAAAGTGACTATAAAATTGGCACCGCTGAAGCAAATCGGTGTATTGTTGCAGAATCTTTTGCTACTGCTTAAGGTCGGTTGACAAGACGAAATATATCATCGGCTACTCTGCTTCAGGTCATGCATTTTCTTGGTCGACTGCGCAAATTTTCTTCAAGTTTCACCAACTTGTAAGACTTGGAATCTTGAACTGCGGAATTAGATGCAAGTAGTTTGAAAAACTGGAGTTTAGGTAAATTTAGACTGTTCTAAAGTTAGGCAAAAGCCTGATTATTGTCAAAAACTTTCTTGTAGAGACCTGTAATTTTGTCAACTCGCAACGGATCTGTAGAATTATCATTTCATTTTAAAGTTTATTTTGACAAGAGAAGTATATTTCTAAATTATTAGAAAATCACGGTAGAGAACAGAAAAATTTGAAATTTTGTCTTTAAAAAAATTTCACCTCAAAGTTTTTTTTAAAAAAAACATATATTTTTTGCTTGCACGGGTGCTGAATTGCCGTATCAAATGAACATTATCTACATTGAAAACCATGACCTCGAAAAATATATGTTTTTTACAAAGTTTAAAATATTTATTTTTAGAAATTAACATTTTAAATTCTTATTTTTTTATTCTGGTCTTTTACAGAATTTGATAGTACTTTCTTTTTTCCGGCTTCTTCGAGTTTAGATTTTTGAGTTGCCTGGGATGAATTTTTTTTTTTAAAAAAAGAGAACAAATCCAAATGTTTATTATGAAAGTACAGGTCTACAGAGGTGACTATGAGATACTTTCTTGAAAGTTCACACTTGGATATTAAGCCTTACGCGTTCATATATATATATATATATAT